ATGCCCCAAAAAGAGAACCAAAAAAAAAATTTTTAAGGTAAAAAATAAAAACCACAGGAAGCCCATGCCAGGCCACACCTCAGCTTTGAAATGGCTTCTGAAATTAGCATGAGAAAGAAAAGGCTTGAGGTGAGAAGTGGTTTAAAAATAAAAAAAAAAAAAATCTTAAGAGATCAAGTATTGTCTGAGTAATTTGGGAGTCTAGAAGATGGAGTTTAGAGTATAACTTCCCTGAACACGCCAGGGAAGTCTCCAAGAGAGAGAGGAAGACAAGCAAGACCCTCAGTAAGGTCTCACGATGATCTCACTCCAGCCTTTCCCAGCTAGTCAGGATACAGGCATGCACATGTGCATTTGGCATGTACAGATCGACATGAGAAATAAACTCTGACGTTCCATATGGTATCCAGCATGGTATCCAGTGCTGGTACTGTGCCTCCTGCTTCAGCTCTATGACTTTAGGCCTGGATCTAATTCTTTTTTTCTTTTTTTTTGAGAGATTTTTGCTATAGGGTGTGTGCACTTGCCAGAGAGACAGAGACAGAAAGCGAGAAATCACTGCCCTGGGGGGGATGGCCACACCGCCATCCCTTCTCTTCCCTTCTCCTCTCAGGATTTTGGGCATGCGCACATATGTACCCAGCATGAGTATCAAGCCACCAGGGCAATTTGTCCCCAGCAGGAGTATCAAGCCACCAGGGCCGGGACTCTAGCCAAAGTCGACTATGTGGGAGTCCAGCAAGGGAACCATTATGCCATCTGCTGGGTCCAGGAACTGAATTTTTAATTGCATGAAGTGTCATTCATATAAATGTAAATAGCCGACTGTGGCTAACTGCTGTTTTATGGACAGTGCAACATATAGGATTAAAAAATCAGAGTGTGGAGCTAGCAAGTGGTGTGGAGGTTAAGGCTGCTGGATCCCACATGGTTGACTGTGTAGTTTGAGTCTTGGACCCTGCAGCTTGGAAATTACACTAGGGGCCAACAGGAGGCATAATGGTTAAGGTGTGGGCTCCCACATGGTTGACGTGGTTTGAGTCCTGGACTTGGTGGCTTGATACACATGCTGGGTGTGTGTGCATGTCCAAAATCCCAAAAGGAGAATAGAGGAGAAAGGATTGCACCTTGGCCATCCCCCCTGGGGGGTGATTTCTCACTTTCTCTGCCTCTCTGGTGAACACACATGCATTATAGCAAAAATCTCTCCTAAACAACAACAAAAATAACAAAATCCCTAGAGGAAAATGGAGGAAAAAGGATTGTGGTGTGGCCATTTCCCCATGAGGTGCTTTCTCACTTTATCTCTCTCTGTGACTCTGGGGAACACACATACCCAATAGTAAATTTTAAAAATCAAAAATAAAAATCAGGATTTACTGGTAGACCTTCCTTGGGGTAGGGAGGGATTCCAAAGCAAGCTCCTAAACTCTCAAACAAGCTAGCTAATAGGAAGGACTGTGTTGTGGACACACCTAGCAGGCAGATAACCCTGAAGTCCTTTATTTGTAGGTAGATGTGTGAAATCTAGAGGGTTTTGGTTTATTTTCCCTGCTCTGAGGTGCAAGTCTACCAGGATCAGAGGTCACGATGTACCACACAGTGCCAGGAAGCGCCACATAGTGCCTGGTGTCTGTAGTCCTACCAACAAATGTTGAGTGGATGTGAATTTTAGGATGTGTTAGGGTTGGAATTTTTCCCCCTTGGGGTTCTGTCTTTGGCTTACCATTAGGATTAATGAAAGTATAGAAACTGATTTATAGAAAGTATTCTGGAACACTGTATAAAACGGTACACAGTGCTGGCTCCCCTCTTGCCAGGCTGTGGAGACCCTGTGTGAAGACAGTGTTTGTGGCTGAGGGCGCCTGTGTCTGGGAAAGCCCGTGTGCACGGTCTAGCCTGACCTTGTAAGTGGGCCATAGCCCCGGGCTCTGCATGCACTGACCAGTGCCTGGTTTCAATCAATCCAGCAATTGCCTTTTCCTGTGGTACCCACATTCTCTATGGCATAGGGCTTTGGGAGAAGCCTGGGGGGGGGGGGGGGGGGGGACCATACAGGTTGTCTCAGCTTTACATAAGAATAACTGGGACAGTTTGTTAGAAATGTAGGTTTTTTTTTTTTTTAATGTAAAGGTGGGGGGATCTTCAAAAAATTCATGCAAATGTATATTAATGAAAATGGATTTCAAAAATTTTTTTGTTATAAAATCAACTTGTACTTTTATTTTTCATGAACTCTTTGAAGTCTGTCCTAATATTTTGTCTCAGCTTTACATAAGAATAACTGGGACAGTTTGTTAGAAATGTAGGTTTTTTTTTTTTTTAATGTAAAGGTGGGGGGATCTTCAAAAAATTCATGCAAATGTATATTAATGAAAATGGATTTCAAAAATTTTTTTGTTATAAAATCAACTTGTACTTTTATTTTTCATGAACTCTTTGAAGTCTGTCCTAATATTTCATTAGAGTCTACAATGTAGTTTTTTTTTTTTTTTTGCCATAGGGCTCTTGTGCTCAAGTGAGAGAGACCTTGAAAAGGAGGGACCAGCAGTTAGCGTAATGGCTATGTCGCTGAACTCCCATGTAGTTGACCGTGGTTCGAGTCCTAGACCCGATGGCTTAAGCTCACGCCAGGTGCATGTGTGTGCGTGCCCAAGATCCTGAGAGGAGAATGGAGGAGAAGGGATTGCGGTGTGGCCATCCCCTTGGGGGGTGATTTCTCATTGTCTGTCTCTCTGTCTGTCTGGCTAATGCACGCGCCCTGTAGCAAAAAACCTCTCCAACAAAAAAAAAAAAAAGAAAGAAAGAAAAGGAAAATGAGAAATCACTCCCTGAGAGGATGGCCTCCTCTCAATCCCTTACATTCTTCTCCTGTGTTTTGAACATGCATGCACATGTGACCATGTGATTTTCAAATCACCAGGTTTGGGACTTGAGCAGTAGTCAGCCACATGGGTGTCCAGCACCTTAACCACGACACCATCTGCTGGACCCTACAAATGTAGATTTTTTTTTTTTTTTTAGAGAGACTTTTATTATAGGGCATGCGTGCTCACTAGAGAGACAGAAAGCAAGAAATCGCACCCCAGGGGATGGCCACACTGCCATCCCTTCTCTTCCATTCTTTTCTCAGGCTTTTGGGCATGCACACACATACACCCAGAGTGAATTTCAAGACTGGGTCCAAGACTGGGTCTTGAAACTGTGTCCAAGACTCAAACTGCGGTGTGCCATGTTGGAGTCCAGCAATGTAACTATTACATCATCTGCTGGTCCTTGTAGATTATTTATTTATTTACTTATTTGTTTATTTGTTGTCATTTTTGGGCTGCCAGGCCTGGGGCTCAAACCACAGTTGGCCATGTGGGAGTCAAGCACTTAAACCACCATGCTATTTGTTGGCCCTCACAAATGTAGATTTTAAAACATTTTTAAAAAATAATTATTCATTTTTACTTACTATTTTTTAATTTGATATAAGTACTCACCAGAGAGAGGCAGAGAGAGAGGGAAAGTGAGAAAGCAAGCCACCAGTTCTAGGACTTGAACCACAGTCAACTGTGTGAGAGTCCAGTGCTCCAACTACCGTGCCGCCTGCTGGCTCGATTTTAAAACATTTATAAAACAGTTTGAGAAACTTGAATAAACTTTTGATAATATTAAAGAATTATTAGTGTTTGTTTTTAAGGTAGGCTAATTGTATTGTAGTTTGCTTTTTTTAAAAGCAGTTTTGCCAGGGACCCTTCATGGGGATGGTCACAACAACATCCGTTCTCCATTTCTCTCCTTTCAGGATTTTGGGCATGCATTCAATATTTGATACTAAGGAATTTGTATTATAATTTAGGTGGATACATTGTTTTGTAGTTATTTCTTTAAAAAAAATTAAAAAAAAACTATTTATTTTAATTTGACCAGAGAGGGAGTGAGAGTGAGAGCGAGAAAGAGAAAGTGAGAAATCAAGCCACCAGGTCTGGGACCTGAACCATGGTCGGCCATGTGGGAGCCCAGCACCTCTAACTACCACACTACCTGCCGGCCCCTCTTTTATTTATTTATTTTTTTAAAGAGGTTTTTAACCTTAGGGAGGGTCTGCTCGCCAGAGAGAAAGAGAGACAGAGACATTGAGAGGAAAAGTGAGAAATCACCCCCCAGGAGGGATGGCCACTCCACAATCCTTTCTCTTCCATTCTCCTCCCAGGATCTGGAGTACGCACACACGTGCCAGCATGACTTTCAAGCCACCGAGTCTGGAACACAAACCATGGTTGTCCATGTGGGAGTCCAGTGACATAACCACTATGCCAAATGCTGGCCTCTTAGTTACTATTTTATTTTCCAAGAAATTTTTGCCGTAGAGTATGTGTGCTTGCTGGAGAGAGACAGAGAGAAGGAGGGACCAGTAGTTGGCGTAATGGCTATGTCATTGGACTTTCATGTAGTCAACCGCAGTTTGAGTACCAGACCGGTGGCCTAAACTCACACCAGTTGCATGTGCGTGTGAGGCTCCCGAGAGGAGAAGGGAGGAGAAGGGATTGTGGCGTGGCCATCCCCCTGGGGGGTGATTTCTCACTTTCTGTCTCTTTGTCCCTCTCTATCTTTCTGGCGAGTGCACATGCCCTATAGCAAAAACCTCTCCAAAAAAAATAAAAAAGAGAGAGAGACAGAAGGAAAGCAAGAAATCGCCACCCCTGGGGGAGGGGGGATGGCCATGCTGCAGTCCCTTCTTCTCCATTCTCTTTTCGTGGGATTTTGGGCACGTACATACGTGTGCCTGGTATTTCAAGCTACTGGGTCTGGGATTTGAACTACGGTCAACTACATAGGAGTCTAGTGACATAACCATTTTGCCATCTGCTGGTTCCCCTGTACTTAGGTTTATAAAGGAGTCTTCACCTTTTAGACGGAATGCGGAACAGTTTACAGATGACATGCTAGAACTTGCTGCAAAATAATCTGGTGTGGGGAGTGGGCAGGAGCAGAGAGGATATTAGAGTTACCTTAAGTTTTGTTTTGAAGCTGCTTGATGGGGATCTGGAAATATATTCCTCTTCCCTCTATTCCTGGAAGCAACTGATATTTTCCACCATGAAGAGTTAAAAAACAACAACAACAAAAAACAAAACAAACAAAAAAACACCCTTCTGAATCCTCTTCCTAGCTAGACCTACCTACTACCTCCAAATCCGGGGCTGGGAGGGCCAGGAATTTGCATTTCTCCCACCCTCCTGGGGCGTGAGAGCCTCTGTCTGGAGGAGGGCTGACCACCTCCATACTACACATCTGCTTCTTCCTCCTCCCTGCCCAGCCAGAACCTTTGTGCTACTTGGCAACTTCACAGCCCTGTTGGCAACTGTTCCTGTCCTTGTCCCAGGGCCAGATGGCCCAAGTGGTGTAAAGGCTTGTGGATCCTGGACAGGGGCATCTCGGAGGGTGCCTCTCCTGGCCTATACACAGGCGGTGCCCAGTCCTTGGCTCCCTGGCATTTGCTCACTCATTTGGCTCTGTGACTTCAAGCCGAGTCATGGATTCCTGGCATCACAGGGCGTGGAGAGGAGCATCCTGTGAATAAGCCCAGAAGCAGAGCAGCCAGCTTGCTTGCTGACCAATGGGAGGAGGCACCAGAGTTCCCAGGGTACTGTGCCACGCGGAGAAAGGGCCCAGTCACATTCCTTTAGGGAGGCCCTGCCTGGAGGATTAGGCCAGCTCACTGCGAGCTGACCAGGTGGACACAGGAGCTGACTCTGCTCAGCCTGGTGACCAGAGCTGGGTAAACAGTGTGGCTCCTCAACACAGGATGAAGCTGCTTGCCAGGGCTCTCTATCTCCATGAGCTCTGGAGGCAGGGAATGTCCAGGATGCCCTGGTCCGTCGCTGGCCGCGAGTGTGTGGTGCCGGGAGGAAAATGCTGGCCATCCTTCTGGGCCGTTGGGACCAGGCATGATCACCCCATGTTCTCATCTTGCATCACTGTAAGGTAGGGTGACTGGAACATTTGTGCCCCTGGAGCTGCCTTCTCCACTCCTGGGTCTAGCTTTGGAGGCCAACTGGGCAGCCTGCCCCACGGCCTCAGGCCACATGACTTGGAGGATTTGGGAAGGGACAGTTGGGGGCTGGGTGTGGGTGAGCTGTGTGCTTTGTCAGACTGAACGGCAGGAGTAGGTGTTCATCCTCACTTGAGACTGGTGGGTGGGACAGGTGCAGGCCCTTGGGCTTTGCTGGAGGCAGTGATTCCAGGCCTGGCAGGCTCGCCAGCAGGAAGCTGGAGCCTTTCAGGACTTGAGGCCAGTTTGGAGGTCAAAGCACCTGTGAACCAACAGCAGCTGGGTCAGCACAGACTGCCGGGTAGCAGGTCCACTCCCTGAAGGCCTTGTTTTGCCCCCACTGGGTGGGAAGTTGAGCTGTGATTTCAGACCAGATGGTGGGTGCAGGGCCAAAGTTCCTACAGTACTGGCTAATCCCTTTTTTTTAAAAAGATTTTTTTTTCTTGTCATAGCCTGCATATGCTCCCAGGGAAGAGAGAGACTGAGAAGGAAAGAGGGAAAGTGAAAAATCACTCCCCAAGGAGAATGGCCACACTGCAGTCCCTTCTCCATTCTCTTGGGATTTGGGGCATGCATGTACACATGTCTGGCATGCTTTTCAAGCCTCAGAATATGGGACTCGAACTGCAGTAGGCCATGTGTTTTAACCACTATGCTACTGGCTGGTCAGATGGACTGACAAATCCTTTTTTTTTTTTTAATATTTAAAAAAAAATTATTTATTCATTCATTTATTTTAATTTGACCATAGAGTGACACAGATAGAGAGAGAGGGAAAGTGAGAAAGCAAGCCACCAGGTCCAGGACTTGAACTGTGGTCAGCTAGGTGGGGAATGTCCAGTGCCTTAACCACCATGCCACCTGCTGGCCCCTTTTTTATATTTTAAAATATTTTTTTAGGAATTTATGGGGGGGGGCTGGCAGGTGGCATGGTGGTTAAAGGTGCTGGTTTCCCACACGGTTGACCGCGGTTCGAGTCCTGGACCAGGTGGCTTACTTTCTTTCTCTCTCTCTGTCTCTCTCTGCTCAAATTGAAATAAACAAATAAATAAAGTTAAATAAAATAATTCTTTAAAAAAAGAATTAATTAATGGGACTAGCAGATGGCATGATGGTTACTTTGCTGAACTCCCACTTAGTCAATCATGGTTTGAGTCCTGGATCCAGTGGCTTAAAACATGCTGGGCCATCTATGCATGTGTGCTCAAAATCCCAAGAGGAGAATGGAGGAGGAGGGATTGTGGCATGGCCATCGCTCCTGGGGTGGGAGGTGATTTCTTGCTTTCTGTCTCTCTGTCTCTCTGGCAAGCACATGCACCCTATAGCAAAAAATCTCTCTTAAAAAATAATTAATTTAATTTATCATTATTAATTAATTGATTCATTTACCAGAGAGAGAGAGAGAGAAGGAAATTGAGACAGCAAGCCTCTAGGTCTGGAGGTCTCCATGGCCGAACTGTGGATAGCCATGTAGGAGTCTAGCACCTTAACCACCATGCCACCCATTGGCCCCAGCTAATCACATTTTTTTCTTTTAGGAAAAAACCTGTAGTGCTGTGTGGAACAAACAACTATTTTCTTAGAACATACTTTGATTTTTTTTTTTTAAAGAATTATTTTATTTGAATTTATTTATTTATTTATTTATTTTAATTTGACCAGACGGACACAGTATGAAAGCAAGCCACCAGGTCTGGGACTCTAACCACTGTTTGCCATGTCGGAGTCCAGCGCCCTTAGCCACTACACCACCTGCTGACCACTGCCCCAGCTAATCCTTAAGGTTTTCTTGTGCTCCTCACAAATGGCATTACTTCTCCCAAACTTCATAGCAACTTTTTAGGGTATAAGCATCCTCTTTTGTACTTGAGATAGAATACACACCATCCAACTTTCCCCTCAAGGTATACAATTCTGTGGTCTTTTGGATGTTCCCAGTTGTGCAACCATCATCCCAGTCAGTTTTGAAAGGGGTGATGGGGGGCCAGCAGTAATGGCTATGTTGCTGGACTCTCATGTAGTTGACTGAGGTTCGAGTTCCAGAACTGGTGGCTTAAACTCACACTGCGTACGTGCCCAAGATCCCGAGAGGAGAATGGCGGAGAAGGGATTGTGGCGTGGCCATCCCCCCCGGGGAGTGATTTCTCGCTGTCTGTCTCTCTGTCTCTCTCTTTCTGGCAAGCGCATGCACCCTATAACAAAAACCTCTTCAAAAAGAAGAAGAAAAATCCTAACCGTATATATCTGCCACCTAAAAAAAATGCCTTTGCCTCCAAAACTGAGTGAGGATGGGGCACTGTCCCCAAAACTGAGTGAGGATGGGGCCCTGCTGTCGCTGGGATGCTGGGACCTGCCCTCTTTGCTGGAACATTGTTCTGGATGCATGAGGATGGCATCAGAATATTCCAAAGTTATTTCCAGGGGGCCTGGGAGAGTCACACCTACAAACCTTAACAGAAGCCTACCAAGGACAGATCTTTAGCCAGCAATAGTGGGACCTACATCCTGCCCCAGGCATTAGTGCTTTTATGATGCATAGTAAGCGTCTTATCTCTTAAAGCACAGACAGTTCTTTCATTCGTTTCTTTCAGAACAGACACGTGTGTTTTCTTTAACCAATTACTAATCTAGTAATTTCAAACTCACCTGTAAGCCACAAGCCTTCTGTTGTAGGTATCCCACCTTTTTGGACCAGGCCCATGTAAAGGACTCCTAACGTGGATTGACAATGCTTCTGCTCTTAGAACCACATAGAACGAACCACTGTATCTCAGCACCAAGAAAAACTTTATTTTTTGCTTTAGGGTACATGTGCTTGCCAGAGAGAGGGAGAGAAAGAGAGAAAGGAAACGAGAAAGCACCTCCCAGGGGGATGACCGCACTGGAATCCCTTCTCTTCCGTTCTCCTCTCAGAATTTTGGGCACACACGCTGTTTTCAAGCTACTGGTCGGGACTGGAATTGTGCAGTCGACCCTGTGGATTCCAGCTGCCTTAACCACCACACCACCTAGCTGGCCCGCCTTTGCCTGTTTTTCAATTATTAAACAGTTAAAAGAGTTCTTTTTATATTCTAGCTATATCATGTGTCCACTGTATGGTTATGGTTACTATTAGTTTTTAATAGCCAGAGTGTAGTTGTATTCTCCAGAGAAGAGGGAGGAAGCATTCTCTGATGGAGTGTTTGTGCTGCAGTCCCTTCTCCACCTTTTCTCCCTCCTGTCAGGATTTTGTGCACACACACGCATGCACACTCGTGCTAGTCCAACGTCGTCGTCTTCCTTTTTTTCTTTTTTGAGAGAGTTTTTTTGCTATAGGGCGTGTATGCTTACTGGGAGACAGAGAAACAGAAAGTAAGAAATCACCACCCAAGGGTGATGGCCACGCTGCAATCCCTTATCTTCCATTTTCTTCTTGGGATTTTGGGCATGCATGCACATGTACCCGGCAGGAGTTTTAAGCTGCCGGCTCCGCCAGGTCCGGGACTTGAACCGCGGTCGCCTACATGGGAGTTCAGTGATGTAACCAGCTGGCCCCGAATGTCTTTTTCAAGCCATTGAGGCCAGGATTTAAATCACTGTTTACCGTTTGGGATCGGACTCCCTTTAGCCCTAGGAGACAGGACTGGCTCACCATCTTAACCTTTTTTTTTTTTTCCCCCCTTTTTGAGAGGTTTTTGTGTGCTTGCTGGAGAAATGGAGAGAAAGACAGACTGAAAGTGAGACATCAGCCCCCCAGAGGGGATGGCCATGCTGCATCCCTTCTCCCCCATTCTCTCATGATTTTGGGCACTCACACATATGTGCCTGGCTTTAGTTTCAAGTTCCCGGGTTTGGGACTTAAATATTGTTTGGCTACGCGGGAGTCCAGTGCCTTAACCACCACACCACCTGCTGGTCCCATCTTAACCATTTTTTTAAAAGAATTATTTTATTTAACTTCACTTACTTTTCAAAAAAATTTGACCAGAGAGGGACAGAGCAAGCAAGGAAGAGAAAGAGAGAAAGTGAGAGAGTAAGCCGCCAGGTCCGGGAATTGAACCGCAGTCAGCCATGCGGAAGTCCAACACCTTTAATCACCACACCACCTGCTGGCCCCATCTTAACCATTTTTAAGTGCAGTTTAATGGTATTAACATACATTTTTCGGGGGCAGCAGGTGGCGTGGTGGCCGGACGCCCACCTGACCGACTGCAGTTTGAGACCTGGACCTGGTTACTTGCTTTCTCACTTTCCCTCTCTCTCTTATGAGCATAGGTGCCCTATAGCAAATTAAATCGTAATGAATAAAATTAAGTAATTCTTCAACAAATACATTTATGATGCTGTGCAACCATTATCACCATCTCCAGACTGCTTTTCATCTTACATAACTAAAATTCCTACCACTAAACTGTAATTTCTTATTTCCCCTACTCCCTCTAGTCTCTGGCAGCTACCATTCTACTATGATTTTGATTTACTTTGTGTAAGAGGACCCGAACAGTATCTGTCTTTCTGTAACTGGCTTATTTTACTGGGCATAATGTCCTCGAGGTTCATCCCTTTTGTGGAATGTGTCAGAATTTCTTCTCTTCTGAAGGCTGATTAATACTCCAGGGTGATATTCCATATTTTGTTTGTCCACCTATTGTGATGGACACTTGAGTTCATCCTGCCCTTTAGCTAGTGTGAGCACTGCTGCTGTGAGCCTGGGTGTACACATTTCTTCAGGACTCTGTTTTTACTTTTTGTGGGTAGAGACTCAAAAATAGTTGTTGGATCACATAGTAACTCTATTTAAAAATGTTGAGTATGCACCATGCTGTTTTCCATGGCGGCTGCACTGTTTTACATCCCTACTAACAGGGAACATGGGCTCCGATTTCTGCACTGTTCTCCTTGTTGACACTTGTTTTCTGATTTTTGATATTAGCCATCCTAATGGATTTCTCTC